ACATAAGGCTCCAAGGTGTGTCCTTCTTCCAGATATCTTTTGTGACATGAAATGAACTGGAAGTAATTATGTAGATGGTGCAAAGTTGTTCAAGGCACTCAGTCACGCTTGAAATCTACATATTCTTTAATCAGTTGTTGTGTTTCACCGACTGCATTGCTTTTCTATTTTTTTTTCTCAAAAAGATGAAAGCTCATACTGTTGATAAAAATGCTCTGTTTGTAACCGTATAATTGTAAAGTTAGCATGCACTTTGCTTGATTTTTTGTTCATTTCGCACTTTATCAGGTCATTGCTCAGGACAATCATTTAGGTGTGGCAGACACCACTGAATAGTAGTTTAAATTGCTTTACAACTTTTTGTTTAAGTTGTTTTCCCCCTTCAAGTTGGCTAAGAGTAACATGCGTCGATATCAGTGTGTATATGGACCCAGCGCTTACTCTTATTATCGCACTTTTTCTTACCAGTACGATGCATACGACCCAGTTCCTGGTGCAAGATACCGAAAACGAACGCCGCAGGTGGACGTCTTTGAGATGGCAAGAAACAAAGAAGCGGTGTATCCAAGGAGAACGTCAACAGAGCCTGCCAATACTAATACAGTTGCTGAGTTTACTGAACTTAAACATAGAAGTAAGTTTTTTTTTGTTATCCTGTTTGTTTAGATTTCTTTTTTTTTTTTTCAAGTACAAGCTGCGATGAAATTATTATAATACTAACATAACTTGAGTTTGGTGGTCTTGTTTTATGATCAAAACATAGTCTTCTTGCAATTTCATCCATTTGAACAAATACAATATTTTATTTTTACTTTTCTTCGAAAATCTTTTTGTAGTGTCTGTATATGCATAAAAAAAATTATTATTATTTAAAACAAATAAAATACAATGTAAAAATAACTAAATAAGAAAAAGGAAACTGAGAAACATTTTAGATTCAATCTGGAGTTGATATATTTTGTGTAATTAATGTCTGTTATATACAACATATTTTTATTTATTTAACACTCTATTTGAAGAGGGTAGCTTAAAATACAGTAAAGTTTTTTATAGGGGATAATGTCAGCAAGGTATATTTTTCCAAAATGACAATCAAAGTATGTGTAATTTATGTGGTTTTTGTGCATAATTTAGAACAGACTGACAGCAAACTCTGTTGGTTTTAACAGTGGGTTACCAATATTCAAAAAATGAAACATGCTTATCCATAAATATCACAGTTCGTAATTGTCATCATAGTATATACTTACTATATAATTTTAAAATGCAAAAGTACTGCATTTGACAAATTACAAAAACTGTGCACTGTGTTTTTGTGTGCTACTGGTTTACTTCTATTGTAAACCAACATTCTATTTCTATGCTCATTTACCCATTCACATACATTACGTTTACTGTACTGTATAGTGACATGTCTTCCCCTAAACAATAATTATTTTTGTAAGTGCTGCCTCTCAAAATTCCTAGCTGTTCAGCAGACATTTGAAGATCCAATATACATATCTGCAAAAGGAATTGAAGAAAATAAATTAACTGATGATTGTGATGCATTATCTGTATATCCACTACAGCAAGTATTTGTGGCCGAAGATTTTAGTGATTCGTAAATGTTATTGAGGGTCATTGAACCCCAGTGAAGTTTATTTCCACCACTCACAATCTCATGATGTACCTCCCAAAATTAATGAAAATATGTCTCATACTACATTAAGATGGTAGATAACCCTTTAAAATTATGTAGTTATTGAATATACATGTTATGTGGCCTCAGTAGTGTGGATACTGGAGGAATGATGACACTGTTTCTATATATGATCATCTCACTTTTGAATACCTGTGTGCTTGGTTCTTATATTTTGCTGTATTTGTGTCTTGCAGATGGAAAGTCACGTCAAGAGTTCCGGTCGCTGTACCCTGAACACCCTAACAGTAACTCCACACTTGAAACACAACAAAATGCACTGATACAACAGCAGGAAGAAAAACTGAACGCCATTCGAAGAGGTAAGCTGAACCAAATTTTTGCGAATAAGGTTTGTTGTATTAGCAGTTTTAAATTATGAAAGTAGCGAAAAATGGTTGAAGTGTTTTGCTTATTATTGAAAGTAAAAAAAGAAAATAATAATCTTGAAGCGTAACGTGAACGGTAAGTCCAGACGAAAGAGGGGGAGGATGCATTAAAGTATATGTTGCAAGGTATACAAATTTATAGCATAATGTGTCAAGGTTATGATTGTCAGCTACAGTAATTACCTCAACTTCATTATTCATTTTAATTACCTCTACCATATTTCAGGCAATTCCAAAAAACTGACTAAAATGTTTCATACTTAGTTCCATAATTGTTTATTTTTTTGAATTTCTTTCTACCTTATCTCAGCATCATTACCTAAGACTGAAATGTCTAACCCCCCACCCCCACCCATGTACGATATTTGACAGAAATTACATTTTCTCTCATGCAAAATTTAAATGAAAAGGCAGCTAAAAATGCCACAAAGAAAAATTAACAGATGCCTTTATGAGTACAACTCCCCTCGTCTCAATCTTCACCACCACCACCACCTTTCCTATCAGCATCATTCATGTACATTTCATTCCTACATGTACTAACTTTGTCTACTCATATCATATCATTTTTCATTCCATATTTACATTGCTTAGCATTGTCAGAATCAGGTATGCTGTTATTGACAGTCAACAAAATATTAATAGCATATGCCATTATAAAATGAGAAAATTAAATTGGTTGTTACAACTTTTTCATGCGAGCATCAAAAACACTTTTCTTATAGCATCAGGCCTTTTGACAACAATGGTCGTTGAGATCTCATTGAGAACAAGAAAGCCATGAGACTTGTATTTTGACCGGTCAAATAGTGTTTTATTCCCCCCTCGTCATTGCATCGACCATTACCCTGGCCTATGTAACCATGGTACTTTGAACAGTGGTCTCAATGATTTGAAATAATGGTACACTATTGAGAGACAGGAAACAAGTCGTATAATGCTTTCTCATTCTCAGGGAGATTTCTGCAGCTATGTACATGCAATGACTCATCTTCATTTGTATTTCTGAAAATGTGCATTAGTCTTGCATTTTCATGATCAGTGCATCTTCAATATGTTGCATATCTGTATCTCTTTATCTACTTTTGTAATAATTTTAATAATATTATTTCCATATGTTAGTTGATGTAGAGTAAGTTTTACTTCTGGTAGAATGTTTGTAGATTCTTCTGCATCCTTAGATAAGCTATTGTTTCTCATTATTTGCCTTCTATTCTTGCTTTTTTTAATATGACTATAAAGACTTCTCACTGCATTGTGTGTAGATATATTATACATTAAGGTAGATGGGAATAATAAACATAAGGGTGCTTGTGCTTTAATATTGAGACAATAGTTTTGTCAGCATTATTCTTGATCAATCATGAATGTCTTTGAAAGTTGCTGATATTTTGTTAATAGTTTTCTTATTTGCTATAGAATATTCCATATGTGGAAAAAAGGCCGGATCACTAATTCAAGATAAACGTGGTATAACTTTACATGAAATATGAAGTTATTGCAGTGAAAATTGCAGAAAATTGCTTCTTGATTTATTTTGAAACTCTGGATAATGAAACAATTAACATGTTGGGAAGTAAAACAAATTAGATTGAGCTACATTTAAGTAGTTTGCCCAAAGACAATAGAAAAGTCTCTTTCTAATATCTTTGGTTTGCCCTATTAACAAACTACTTGAATACATTCATAGGCGATGTCATAAAAACTCTTGTGTGTCTATTTCTAACCAAACCCACAGCTGTATTGATTAATATTAATTGTATATTGTGCAGTGGCCATATAAAGTTAGCAACATAGTGATAACTTGCACTGGTATAGTAATTGAGATACAAAAAAGTGTTAGTCGTCCTTCGTCTGTCCGTCTTTGTGTGCTGGTGATGATCACCAGTTTGACAGACGTGTGTGAAGGGATGGTGTATTTTGCTTTCCATGTAACATTATGGTTCAATAAAATTGATCAACTTTTGTTCATCTTATTTCAGGTCGAATAACTACTGCGCAAGATATGCCAAGTATGCGGCCGTTAGATTTGGGTTTGGTAAGTTCATTCACACCATTATGTCATCATTTTTCTGTTGTTTTTTTTCTATCCATACAACCTTTATCAGATTACAGATTATTGGAAAATTCGGAATGATCATGATTTGTTTTCTAACAAAATTATTTTGTGAGATAAACACAAGTGTTTTTAAAAAAGAGAAACGCCCTGTCTGCCACTCCAACATTTCTGGTTTCTCAGAGCTACCATGCATCAAAGAGGGGGGGGGGGGGGGGTGGCAGATATTTTATTTTACAAGCTTTCATTTTGATGTAGCATGTTGATTACATATTATAGACATCCATAGACCAAATGTAATTGATAACATCTTGCTATCTATATGTACATGCGCAAAATATTACAGGGAGACAACATGCATGCATGCATGTATGTATATATTCAATTTGTGAAAAACATCACAAATAATTGGTTATAAAATCGACCCATATAGCTCTACACTTTTACATGGCAACCAGGGAACACATCCAGTTGGGCAACTCAAAACTCTTCTATTCTAAACTTGTTGTACCAGTCCAACCATAAATAAGTAAAAACAGGGACATTCATGTTAGATTTTCCACCAATTCAAAATTGCTATTAAAATTCTTTTTTGAGAGAATGTACCAGGATAACAAGAGTAGACAAATGAACAATCAATCAGCATTTGAGCACATTCATGGCGTACTGGTAAGCTATTTTGCAAGCACCTGTTGTCTAATTCATACTTGCATGTCTCATAATCATTTCTTGTGAAATGAATTCATTATTCAATATGCTGTCATAGTGTTATTAGACTCGCTATGACATTATGCCATACATATCACATGGTATCATGTTCACGAGTGCATTCCCTGATGTCTCAGAGAATAGAGAGGTACCCATCCATTGTAGACACTGCTAGCCATTCCACCAATAATAATGCATTATCCCATGATTATTCCTTCAATTGCAATTTTACACCCCAAGTGTGAAATAAATTCAGTGCACAGTAATTGGAATCACCTTCAACCCTTAACGAAGACATTACATTTGCTGTGTGCACGCTTTAATTGTGCCACTTGTAGATTCCAATCTCATTACATTTACAATATGCTCCCAATGCGTACACAATAACAATTGAAAACTCCACAAAATGCTATCCATGCACCCTATGTTGGTTCGTCTCCTCATCCCCTCTGTGCACATTCACTCATATCACTGATTCACATACTAGTGTTGCCCCCATCATCCATTGCATTTAAAGATTTCATTTCCCAGCAAGCTCACCTTAATAAAAGGTCACGTCTACATACTTCTACACAAGCAACCAAACAATGCACTGTACCTCACTTTATCTCCGTTCTTCACGTTGTGTGGCTATATATTATAAAAACACTAATGATCTCTCTATCCCACCTTTATCCTATCTGTGTGTGCAGGGGAGAGAGTCCCCTTCTATGCCTCTGCCATCAGAGAGTGCATTTGTGAATGCTAACACAGGAGAGACAGAGATTCCCAGCCCTCTTGGCTATAAGCCATCATCAGCTCGGCAACGAAGACGAGCCAGAGACATTCCTTCCCCAAGTCTTAAGGTAAGGTTGTGTTACAATTAACTTGTTATCATGCCATTATTTTCTCTTATTTCAATGACTTCATCATTCCGATGTAGCTGTAGCAGTAAACTAAGTATTTTTTAAATTAATTAGTCAGTTGCATGTTATGGTTTGGAAATTGTGGGGCTATTGCTGATCAATTCATATACCATACCATATTTTCTCTATTAGAAGCACATCATAAATGTAAACTAACAATTGGATCCAAACTATTAACTTATTATCTATTTTGACCATAGATTTAGGTTAGCACTAATAGTATAACAAATACTGTATTATCATACTTGTAGCACCTAAAAACTATAATTTATTGTTCTATCTACGATGAAATTTAAATTTCTCCTTCTAATTGATATACTACGTCATCAACATGGAAAGCATTTCAGGTTGTTTTATATTCAAACACTTTCCTTTGTATACATTTAGCGTTATTATTAGTGTGTGATACTGTAGAAATCACATTGCATCGCATTTCTTTGGCATTTTGTGCTGTTGTCTCTCTTTAAATTATTACTACATCCGGAGGAAAAGATGTATAATAATTAGGTTATCACGAGAATACTGCAAAATATGCCCTCAGGCAGTACAGAATTGCTGCAACCTGCACCACGTACTGGTTGATGTGATTCTCAAACTGTCTTCATACTTTGCTATCTTCTCATTATAACCTCACAGCGTCACTTGCTGCGCGTGTATGAAAAAATGCCCCACTTATACTTTGTGTTAGTTTTGTCATGGTAAAAATATATTATGTAAATGAGTACAAAAATTTAAATATGTAGTGACTTTCATATTTTGGTGGTTATAGATGTAGAATAAAAACAAATTCAAGACCTGTGTGTACCAGTATGGGACATTCGTTAAGTAATTGGTAAATCTCCAAACTTCATGATCTTTGATAAATGGCATTGCTGCCCAATTTGTTCCTGCCATGAACCTTCCTACTAATTTTTCCAGCATTCAATAACATACTGTAAAACCAGTTTGATGCACCGGCATTTAATTTGGTTATTTTAAGCGTATTCACATGGTTCAGAAATATGCCAGGGAATCAATTTTAATTAACATGTTCATGTGAATTTAATTTAGCACATTTTACTTATCAGCAGTGAATAATTGCTACATTTACAGTATCTAACTTAATTTGTGTTTTTCATTTTTATAGCAAGCTGACCCACTGGGCTCTGTGACGAGTTTCGATGTTGACGCCTTGGCAAGTAAAAACAAGGAAAGGTTACGAAAACTCAAGCAGTTGGAAGGTAAGCGTATATTCTTGCTGCTATGCATGGTTGTGTGCAGGATAATAATTAAAGCGTCATGAATGTTGTACCTCATTGTCTTCAATACGTGTGGGTATCGTTCATCATATACTTTGTGTGTATGATCAAGGATTCATATTAAAGATGAAGGTATGCAACTGTTGTGATCTAAATACAAAATCATGCAAACAAGAGATTCCCACAACATATTTAACACATCACTTGCTAAAAGCCTTCATAGATACATGAATGTTATATAATAGCATCATCAGTTGATGTGCAAATGCAAATCAATGAATCTGCGAAAGAACTGATCAGTTTTTGTGTTTTAGAATATGGTAATAATTTCACTCAGAAATGTTTACATAATCAAACCTTTCCATGCTCAATTGATGGGGATCTTCATTGCATACCATCTTACATAGATATCTAAGTTGCATACATTTATGTTGAAAATCTTTTTAGTTCAGTGTTTGTTGACATAAATTTGATCATGATGGTTGCACCACTATAAAAGTTAGTTTGATTTGGAAATCAGTCATCTCTTTCAGCAAGGCACTTTTGTCCAAAATGGAGATTACTGGACATCTGGACATCCAAATATTTCACATAACAGTGCCAATGAACTCAATAAAGCTTTTAGTGATCTCAAAGTAAAACTTTAACAAAACGATGTCTGATGCAAGACCAGGTTACTTTGTTGATTTGATTGAGAAAAAAACATTTCGTTATTGTCATCTTGATAACTGGTATCTCAATTCTGAAAACTGGTGAGGAGGATGAACTTTCAAGAGTCAGTGAAATTGAGAAATTGTTGCAGCTGTGAAAATTACTGGAATCCTTAAAGGAGTCACATTTGTCAGAAAACTTTTTTCAAACAATTTTAGTGCCAAAACCTGTTGATGGTATTATGTGAAACAATTTGTAACCTGAAAGTGTGTATCCTTTGTTTCATTTCATTGTCTGTGTTACTGAACATGTCTCTACTTACTTGTAACTGTGTGTTGGTCTCTTTCTAGTTGCTTTTTTTTGTTCTTTGTTTTATCTTTCAGTTGATGGCGACTCATTAGCAGATCCTGACGAAGTGTTAAAGAGATTTATGGCAAAGACAAGTCACGATAGGTAAGCAAAATTCACATCAAATTTAAATTTAAAAGTATAGGCAGTAATTACGACGAATGACATCACAAATTATTGATTGGTTATGATGTCATTCAAATCAAGTAGAAAGTATGTGTGTAATAATAACGAGTGCTGTGAAAATTTTGTAAATTTACACCTGAACTTAACATACAAATTAAATCCATTAATGTAAGTATTGACTTTCCCTTTATAAAACTAAAAATGCCCATTTTTTTTCTTCTTGCTACCATAACCATATTTGCTCTATTAGAAGAACGTATAAACTCAAAATTGTTTTTGTTGCATCCTGGATCATTAACATAGCAACTGTCATTTTTGTCAGCGTGTGTACTACTGCACTACTAGGGCAAATATGGTAGTGTTTTTATTAAATAGTTTCTTTAATTTACTAGTTGTGTATCTGATTAAATAGTTGTTTTTGATTATTCAATCAATCTTTTTGTTTTTTTAATTTCTGTAAATATTTTTACTACATGTAAAACCACCCAAAAATGTTACTTACCAACATTACAGTTACTGTCTAGATATTCTCTTGAATTTCCAGAGCAAATTTGGGTTTTAAATAATGATGAGAAAAGACCAAATATTTATTATTATCAGACCAGTGGCTTATGTTTCCCATTCTTCTTTTTTTCAACCTCTTCTGTCATAAGTTAAGCCTGTAAGACTTGAAGCTTTACTTGCATTGACTTCATTGATAATACCAACCTCAAACCCGTGTCTGTTCTATAGATGAATCGGACTTAAAATTTACATAAAATATGCACTTCTAATAGATAATAAATACTTGCTTTTCCTTTTCAAATTGAAAAATTATCTGAAATAAAAATTCTTATATAGATATATTTAAACCCTGTTATTTTGGTGATAACAATTCTTGATCATAGATCCTGGATTAAATTATCATCACTAATTATTTTTTTTTTATTCTTCCCACCCAAATTGCCATACCATGGATTTCATTTCATTTATTCCCAGCATGTCGCTTACATCATATTCCTACCAATCCTGAATCAGATTCACCTTGTAAGTTGTCTGATTGCAGTCTCAAGGTTTGAAATTCACAGAGGCCATTTGTGGAGGTGATTGGCGAGATTGCCCCTATCCTGAATACCTTTCTAAAATGTCCTGGTGCCCTGTGAATTCTGAAGTTCAAGCCTTGTAGTCTGTAGTTATTAAGTCATACAATTACCAATCCATAAATACGCTGTCAATTGTATTTATAATATACTTGTATCAACCCTTAGTGTCTAGGGGGAATCAGCTCCATATGATTCCCCCTCCTCCCAAAACTTTGGCTTTGATCTAAAGCAATGCTATATAGTTAACAGTAGGTTAATACATTCAATTTTTCTGGTAAATTAAACTGGCATACTTTAAACCGCTTAGTTTTTGCTGCTAGAATTTTCTCATTTTGATGATTTAATGGCATCAGTGAAGAAAAAATTTTACAAAAATGTTTCTGACACTGAATGTGGGATTATCTCAAGACAAATTTTCACTGACTCACAAAAATGTGTCTCTTGCAAATTAGAACAGTTCACAGTACATGTTGGTATGTGTAGTATGGGACCCACACCTACCACCCTTTATATAGTTACCAAGCATTGCAGAGAAATGTTTAATACATCATTTGTTGAAATGTATTGCTTCACGGCTGCTAACAATTTTAAATCCCACCAAAACAAAAATTATTTTCAAAATTTGTGCTTCTGCTAGAGATGTGTTTATTGTAAATACAGTGTTATTTCATAAATACCAGGAAGTTCTTGCCTGGGATTAATATTTTGTTTCATATATCTAATAGTTTTTTTTTTTCTCTTCCCAGACCTGTTTCGGCTACCAGCCAAGATGCCTGGCTACGACCCAGTGCCACAGATGCTTACTGAGTAACAAATTCACTAGAGGTCATGTGATGTGAACTAGTCATGTTTTAGCTTGACTACCTGTAATTGGTTATGACAGATCATGTGATATTTTCAAAATTTGCAAAAATTAGCATAGCGTACCCAGTTTTACAACCAAAGATAACTCTTCCATTGAGAAATGTACATTGTACTCAACATTCGCCATAGATGGCAGACTCCAGTCAAGATGAACAACAGTTGATTTGCTTATGGCTAGTAGAGGAATTGATACTTATGAATCTACCTATATACGCATAGCGCTCCATTCTACAATCTGGAGAAACTGGATTAGAGCAGTTGCAAATTTTGTGTGTGAAACAGACCTGAACATTTCTGTTGCACGTATGAGACGACTTTGCCAGGATCATTTTATTTACAATATGCGTAGATGCCACATAGCGACGAAAGAAATGTTGTTGAACACCCTGTGAACAGTCCATAGTGTTACCAGCAATGCATCAGTGTATATCCTTCACCGCAAATACACTGAAAAAATCTGGTTATCCAGATTAAACCAAATAACTGAAATGTATTCATGAGAAAACTTTAACTTTTAACACATATATTTTTATTATTTTTCTGTTGTTTAATTGAATGTTTATTTTAATAGCTTATACATTCCAACTTGTTTTAATATTTTATAAAAAGTTCAGTGTGTAGTTTGATTCTACTTAATATTTAACATGAGTCAATGCTAAGCTACTTAAAAGGTTGCATTTGATTGGCTACCCAACCCTAAAACCAAATAGTTAGACCAATCAGAGAGCAGCTTATTTGTTGACAGGTTTGTATATATGCTTTGACTCAACAGAGAAAATATATCTGATTTACATAGGTACTTAGAATTCTTTTTATAAAAACAAAGACTATAAGTGAACAGGACTGGAAAGGGTTTGCTTTAAACAGGTTGTACTGTACTTAGGTGCAAAAGAAAAAATTTGTAATTAGAAGAAAAAAAATATGAGCTGTTGGAATTATTTATTTGTTCTGAACATAGGATTTTTTTTTTAAATGTGTGATGGTAAAAGTCACATGATTTTGTACTGTGTGATGTTGCAAGGAACAGAGACCACTTTAAAAAATTGTATACCGATATGATTGCTGTTTGGATGATAATCACACAAGTGTTGAAAATATATATGTTGACATGTTGAATAACTATTCAATATTGTAACTTATAGAAATGGAGAAGCTGCCATCCATTAGGTTTCAGCGCCCTCATCAGTCAAAGTAAAAATATACTGCTGTTTATGTTTGAGTACTGGTATATTTTTTACAGGAATAAGGTTTAAAGTGCGACAACCTTTTTTTATATTTATGTAAATATTTTGTAAATAATTGTAAAATATGCAACATTTTCCTTACTGGTTGTAGCATCAGTAAAAATTCTGTTCCAAATGGCATTCTTACTGATATGGCAAACCCAAATTGTTTGACATTTATAAAACAACTGAATAAGAAGTCTACCTTTCACTACTTAGAGTATATACATATTAGGTTTGTTACCTCGTCTCATCGATGTCAAACTATTCTTAGTTAATTTGCATTATGTTACATTTCCTGGAGCATTTTTTTGTTGGTTATGCCACCACATTTGTTTTCGACTTAATATATACAGTGATGAAATTGTGGACATTTTTTTGTATCACTTCTCTATTTTTTGTTCGAGCCTCATGTGTAACTGTTCATTTTTTGTCAATACTTTCAACTTTTTTTTTCCTCTCAATTTATTTAATCATAAATAAGAGTAAGACTTTTTTCTTTGTACATATTTAAAAATAAACATGTATAAATTTGCACAATCAAATAAACTATTATATAAGCATACAACAGTTTATTTTCTCTTATTCTTGCATGAAAAACCCAACCCACAGCCAGATACAAGCAAATTGACTGAATCTGAGTGTTCTGTACCAACTTCTAGCTGTGAGTGTGCCTTCCCTGACATAATCTGTGATAATGTAAACTCAAAAATGCACTTACCTTTTCTGTTCAGTCCTGTTAGTGCGAACATGTTGGCAATGCAATGGGTTATCCTGGACTCAACTAGGCCCAAGCAGTTAGTGAATGAATCTCGGCCAGTGGATTTGGCCTTTCTATTTCTTCTGCAGCACACTCGCACAGGACTGGGGGTTAACCTGTTCTGGGTGTTCAACTCAGATAGGATTTGAACTATAGATTGATAAAGTTGATACAGGAACCTGGTTACTGGTTACAAATGCAATGTTGACTCTCTTCAATGGGAGGCATTCATTATAGTCACATACTGGTAATAACAAAGACATAAGCAAACATTCTCTTTATTTTTATTTATTTTCAATAAATAAGTGATAAATGTTTCCATATGAAAATTTGGAAAACGTTGAATATCAGAGGAATAAACACGGTGTAGGCTTTAATCTGAAATGGCCACCATAAAATAATCTGATGAAGTTCTATATTACAAAATTACATTAACACGCTTTTTATTCCATAATTTATGGTAGCATTATGTGCAATGTCATTAAGGTCATGTTACTGAAAAATAAATAATCTAAAAATTTTTACTTTAATGTTGAAATATCATTAATGTTCAGGAACCATTTACATCGAATCTTAAAGTGTGAATTTCAATCTCAAAATTAAAAAAAAAAAAGGAATAAAAGTCTAATTTTAAGAGAACATTTTTAACATGGGCTTTAATGAACATGCATTTGATAGTTACAGTAATAATTAATTAATCCATGAAATCAGAGAAACAGGACCATACATTGCATTTTAGTTGGTTTTACCAAACCCAATCCACTTCAAATCCATGTAGCGAAGGTTATCAACGGCATTTTGAATGTTGCAACACAATAAATATCAAATACACATGAATATCTAATTCGTTTTTTTTTTCCAGCATCATTGTTAAATTTGTAACCTTCCACAAAATAGGACAATCCATCACTGAATTGCTTTGTGCATGATCAATATATTAAGTAACGTAAAGTTTCAGGCAAAAATTAAAACTGAATTTTTAGATTATATCATACACAAGATTATCTTAGGATTTTAACCTTCACCGATAGACTCGTTTATAATGGAGTCATTAGGTGATGATGACCCCAAAAACAGAATTAAATAAAAAGCAACAAATTTATGTTACAAAATCAGACATGCATAACATTACCAATCAATATGATACTCGTATATACCCTAATAAAACCATAAAAACACTTGATATCATCTCCAGAAATTAAATATTTGAAAAGGAATTAAATATAGCAAATTTGTGATCCGGAACAAACAAAACAAAACGTCAGTAAAACTTAAATTACCTGCCAATACATTTTGGACAAATAATCTATTGGCAAAACTGGCAGTTTTCAAATAGTATTAATCTGTTGAGCGCCCTTGTCAACTTTTGGCACCATCTACAAAATATGTTTGTACAGCCTGCTCCTACCCACATAAAGAGTCGATAAAAATTGACAAATTTTTTTGATCAAAAACTAAAAGCAATATCTGTATGGTCCGAAATGATTATGAAATTCGGTGACAATTTTCGAAAATGTGAAAATGTTTGCGTGCTGAATTTTGAGCGGGAAAAATATCTGGCAGTCAAAGGATTAAATAAACCAGAACATAATGGCACACATAAAAGATCTGATTAACTTAACCTAAAATTAGAATACATTTATTAAATAAATAAAGTATATTATTACTCATGCTTTCTAAAAATAAAACATTTTTTGTGTAAAATGAAAAAAGAAAGGCACAATTTTGTATTTAATAAATAATCACAATAAAAACAATACTGTGTAATTACACAAGGATGTCTGGATACTGCTATCACCGATTCTCTGGGGTGGACATTTTCACTGCCTGGCAATAACAACCGATAAAAACAAAGGAAAAAACTGTCAGAAAACTGTACTTTGGGGCTAGTTGTTTGAAACTCTCCTGAACAGATTACTGCTTTGTGTGCAACATATAAAATTTGGTTGTTCAAGATTATCTCAATATTGAATTTGTGCTATTTTCACTGACTCTTCAACTGGTGTTCCACAGCAGCTTGCACAGAGCCCATAGAAATACATGGTATTTTTGACCAACAACCGTAACCTGTTTTTTCTCCTCTGATTTCAATTGAAAGTTACATTTTAGTGACCCCAAAATGTCAAAGCTATCATTTTGGCCATAGAGGGCATACTTCTTTTTTGAAATCAAAATGCTGTCTAACTAGGGTTTCACTAGAAACACAATTCACTATTGCACCTTTATCTGCTGGTTCGTATCAGCTTATTCATGTACTATATTTGTACAATATACATTTACTCAAGACAATCAAAGATGAAAACCTGAGCCATATTTTCATGAACCGAATACAAACCATGGAATGAATCATGTACGTCTGTGATACTATCGCAGGTGATGCACATATCAGACTATATGTGTGTATGAATATCAACAAAGGATTCTGCGTTACAATGTTTCAAATCAATTACAGCGGAACACCAATGTAGTCCAGGAAGAGGATTAATAATACGACTACAGCCAAGAAACCTAGCACAATCACAAGTCCATGGTATTTGGCTGAAAATAAATCAAAATAAATATTATAAATTTATTGCATTTCTAATAATACAATTTTCAGTTAATATTACAGAGATAGTAATAAGATACACTATGATTTGTAAACATCAGAATACATAATGAATTATTATATCCTCAAAGTAGAAATAGAATGAGCAAAGAATAATCACTGTACGCAGAGTTTTAATATATCACGTGAAGGTGAGAATGAGAAAGCTAAATTAGTACTATGAAATGTTGGTGACATTCTGCATGTTTGTAAACTTGGGAGTTTCATCAATAAATATACTGTAAAATACTTTATTTTAGCTGGAATTACTTTTCATTGAAAAGACATTTTTAGTGTTTTGTATGGAATTTATTTTCACTGATTTTTGACAAGTTGAATGTAAAATATAGGGAAAAAGGTACCGTATATTCGCCGGATTTTATTTACACTGAATCATTCCTCCAGCAAAAATAAGGAAAATTAATTCCAAGCGAAAATAAGTATTCCACAGTACATCTACCGCAGCGGCCTCTGTAGTCCGTACTTACTTTGCTTGCTTACTCTTAATACTTTACACTGCTTATCAGCAGATATGCTGAGCAGTGAACAATCTTGATTTCCAAGTAATTCTATATTGCCTTCACTGATTGGTACAAAGGAAAGACCAGTCACAAATATACCATGGACATCTTTCACCAATTTCAGCTTCTGCAAAGGCAATACAGCAACAAAATAATGAAGAAATTAATAATTTTTGTGTATATAACAAGTCATTGTCAATGACACGTCCCCGTTCCGTTCATATTTGAGTGACATATACATTCAAAGCAGATCATGACCGAAATGCACCTGCATATGTACAACACATTGTGCTAAATCTGAACAAAATCCATCCATGCATGACTGAGATCCGGTTCTGGAATTGTGAAAATACGTGATTTTGATGCATTTTCGGCCTTAAAATGGCCATCATTCCGCTATTGTTAAGCAGATCATGAAACAAATGCACATATCTATTTGTGACATGATGTACCATGTGTGTGTGAAGTTTGAACTTGATCAATCCAGACATGTCTTGGATACGGATCCAGAACTGAATTCTTTAACAAAATGGCCGCCAGTCGGCCATTTCGAACTTGATCCGAAAAAAAAAAAAGACGTGCATCAAGGTCCTATTATGTTTAATGTATGTACCAAATTTGAACAAAATCCATCCATGCATAACTGAGATATGGGTCCAGAATGGTGAAAATGTGCGATTTCAATGCATTTTCGGCCTTAAAGCGGCCCCCATTTGGCTATCGTTAATGAGATCATGAAACAAATGCACATACATATTTGTGACATGATGTACCTTGTGTGTGTGAAGTTTGAACTTGATCAATCCAGACATGTCTCGGATACGGATCCAGAACTGAATTCTTTAAAACAAAATGGCCGCCAGTCGGCTATTTCGAACTTGATCCGAAAAAAAAAAATGACGTGCATCAAGGTCCTATTATGTTTAATGTATGTACCAAATTTGAACAAAATCCATCCATGCATAACTGAGATATGGGTCCGGAATGGTGAAAATGTGCGATTTCAATGCATTTTCGGCCTTAAAGCGGCCCCCATTTGGCTATCGTTAATGAGATCATGAAACAAATGCATGTGCATATGTCCCATATAATGTGTGATGTATGAGTGAAGTTTGAACTTAATCGGTCCATGCATGTTCGAGATACAGGTGATCACGGACGCACAGACGCACGGACGCACGGACGGACGGACGCACACAGGGCAAAACATAAGTCCCAGTTTTCGGACTGCGTCCGAACGGGGACTAATAATGATCAAAAAAGTGCATTCAGTCTTTTTTTTGTACCTCAACTTCTGATTCATTCACCTAAAAATAACATAAACTATAGTAAAGCCAACTTTATCAAATCTGTTGTGTGGGGAATCTCAATTCTATGGATGCCATGGTTCAAGTATGAATTCAATGGAAGACTCAATACTTGAATGGACAAGATGCAAATGCACAACTCTGCCTTCAACCACTACTGCTGTTACAAAATTCTAAAAAATACCCCTTAAGTTGCCACTATTTTGCTGTTGTATTTTCTTAGAAAACAATGCAATGCTCAGAAAGTGATCATTCGTTTTCATAAAATTGTTATAGCAGGTATAAGAACCAGGAAAACACAGAATACATTGCATCTCAGTTGCATCTTACCTGTAAACTGAATGATATGTACACAGCAACTGAACCTGACATTGTTCCAAGACCTACATAATTACCATCAGGGCTAAACAAACAAACAAACCAATGCATTAATATACTAGCATAATTTGAATAATGCTCTTCAGACTCAATCATATACAGTACACTGTCCATTTTCAGTCTACTAATATTGTGTACATTTTAGAACAGTTTGTATAAATTAATCTCATCATTTTTAAACTATTATACATTGTATCACTATCCTCTTTTCTCCTAAGATAAATGTCTTTTTAGCTAGCATGTTATTTTAGCTAATTTAGCTAATCTGTAATTTTGCTAACTCAAAATGTCACTAATTTAAAATACAGTATATTCTCACAATGAAATTATTGGCACTTTAGCTAAATTAAGATTCTGTTAATTCATGCATGGAGTAAAATTTGCTAAAATGGCATGTAGCTATTTAAACATGTTCTACAGTATACAAAACATAAATGATAATTTCATATTTGGATTGTTGTTTATTTAACACGAGTTTGAAATGCAGTTGGTTCTATTTATTTACCCGGCTTCGTTATCGAGATATAGTTTCCAGAATATATAATGAGCCACGAGCTTATGCATATTAATAATGTCCCTTTCCAGTCAAGCTGGTACAAATTAAAACTTGCTTGGTGATCTGGTAAAAAAATGTCATAGCCTGTTATTATACTGAATGATATTATTGGACAAAGATTAATACTATTCACTTCTGATGGCTGATGCAAAGATTGTGAACGACTGTAGTGTTTATTTTAAAATAATCTTCAATGGAGGGCTGGTTATTTTTCTAAAGGTCTGGTAGACAATTTTGGTCTACCATTCATAAATAATTTTGCTATACAGAAAATTGTCTCCTACATACTGACAAATAGAGACGCAAGTGAAAAGAAAATTAGAATAGAAATCAGAATAAACAACTCACCTAACAGCTAATGCTGAGAGGACATCTGTTCCTGTGGATACGGTTTTCTCTGGTATAAATTTTTGTGTGTCCCATTTAGTGACGTAGCAATATGTGTTTGTCTTGTCTCTAACATGAGGAACATGAATTGTGAACAATTTTGATTTGCTTTTATCTCCTTCCACAATTCCAAACCTGAAAAATAATAGAATGGAGGTAGTATTACTCATGACAGTTTACTTTTTACCCTTTTAGTTTTCCCTATGTTTGAATTATGAGTAGGAACATACATTCTGAAAAAATTGACTAATTATTTTTATATTTTTGTGCTTGGCGAAATTTCAAGATTGTTTTTGTATTGCTAATTACAAGTACAAGTGCAAATCGTTCTCCAAAACCTTATAGCATGTGTTTGAAAAGCAGGAAAGACTGTACTCTGATTTATACCAGTACCCCAGTACTACTGAATAAACAGTTGGCTCTGGGAATCAAATCCAGAACCTCCCGAAGAGAGGTATACCTGCTAACCACTGAAACATTATTCAGGTTTATAGTATTAATTTATTGCTTTTCATTTTCCCATTGTAATTTGAATGATTTAGAACAACAACATACTAGTAGTCTTGCATGTTGGTATGCAGATGCTAATGACAGCGCCCTCTTTGTCATAAGAAATTGTTTTGTAAGAACAAGAATTGTTAGACTGAAAACAAATTTATTTGTTTCTGGTATTGGGCGACTGTTTTTTTTTTAAATTGCTGCACATACCAACTAGAAACATTCCATTAATGTTTTGGGGGCCATACCCACCCTTACTTGTGTTACCACTAATTGGCTGTCTCTATGACTTCAGTACATAGTGAAAATGCATACTAAGAATGACTCACCTATACTATGCATAGATTATTTTAACATCTCACAATCATGTGGTTATTTGAGAGAATCAATAAAAATATAATCCAGTGAGTGTCATCCACATGATATTTGGTATATCATTGTGAGTGTAATATCAATCAGGTCCCAAGCTCTTAACAAATCCTAAGAAACTAAATTTCTAGATCAAGACAGCAATCTGTAGCCTTATATCAATATAAAGAGTTGGAACTCAGCACTACACTTACTGTCTTACTGACCAGTGAAATGATTCAAAGCATATTAATGATTCCACACCAATAGTATAACTCACCTGCATGATCTGTATCTATAAGCTTTTTCAGGTTTACTTTGATCCCATGTTAACTCACAGGTCTTACTTCCATCTTTGGTGTTCCAGACAAATGCCTTGCAATCCCGTGATACTGAAACAATCTAATGATGATGATAATAATATTCAATTTTGTTTAAATATATTTTACGTTAAATGCAGCTCCCATTGGTGTATCCAGTCAAGGATTAGTCGCAGTTTGTTTTTAAACATGCATGTCATTTAGCAGATATTGAACATCATTCCATATTTAAAAACTACATTTCCTATTAAGGTAGGTTGCAAGTACTCTTTTTGGAACCCCAAAAAATATGGCATAATACCTCATGGTGATGTGTGATAATAATAATACTGGTAATAACAAATACAATTTTAATAAATTTACTTACCTTACTCCCACTTGGACTAATGTCTAAGTCATCAATTTCTTTACTGTGTGCCTGGATTTCATGTTCTTTTGACAAGGTTTGATACTAGAGAATTAAATAAAATCTGGTCAAGTCAATGTAAAAGTACATTAGGTTGGCAGAATAAGGGTTATAACATTTCATATCTATCATACATGCACATGAGATTGCTGGCTGTTTCACTAAATAGCAAGTGTGAAAAGTATGGCAAAAGCACACTTTCCGAGCTGGGAAAGAAATTAGCGGCTTTATAGGGACATCAAGGAGAGAATAAACTAATTTGGCTAGTATAAGAAGGACAACCCGGTAAATGAAGTCAAATAATTTTCGTTGTTAAAAAAGTTCCTGATCCAACATTTTCTTCAATACCTGGTAATTAGTCTACTACATAATAATAGATCTTACCTTCCAAACTCTGATATATCCATCAGCTCCACCAGTAACAAACACTGAGCCGTCATTAATAAACTTCACTACTTTTTGATATTTTTCGGGTTTACCAAAATCACTCTGAACTGATTTCAATCGTTCTATCACATATTTTGCTTTGTTGTCATTTTCTTCTTCTTCAGATGATGATGATTCCTCTTCTTTTCCTTTTCTTCTCCTCAAATCTAAAAAAAGACCACAAAATAAATATTTAAAGAATATTAAATCAATTCCCATTTCAGGTGGACAGTGCCTAAACTAATTTTAAAAATTTATTGATATTCGAGAGAGAAAAAACATTTATATGGGAATACTGTATTTGCTCTATTAGAAGAGCAGGATCATTAAAATATGACTTATTCGAACCATAAACACACCTCAGACATTTATGTACATGAACTTTAATTGAGGAAATATGGTACATGGGAGCTCAGTAAACAAGTTCTCCATTGTATTTCTTCAGAAGACAGGAATTGAGCATCATCTACTGGACATGTAGCCACAGAGTCAACAATGTACCATAAATATACATCCAGTTTTGTCACTGTGGTTGCTGTTATAAAGGGTCTACGTGAAATGTTTTATAAGCATATTGTGAAAATATCACACGACTGGAAAAGCATATGCATATCTATTGGCTGGAAACTGTTAAGCCTTTCACAAAGTATTCTGTAATATTGACTGCTTCAGCTTGCTTACTTGTCTGTGATACAACAAGTAACCAATATTTTATGGGAAAAAAAAAACATGTCAGAATTATTACCTTTGTCAGTTTTTTCTTTGTCAGCTTTTACTTTGTTGATTTCATAGAGTTGACACATTTCATCTTTGCCCGTAACCATGATAAAACTGCCATTTCCAACTCTATGAACATCAGCATTCATAATAGCACTCCTATCTTCACCTTTATCTGTGTCATATCTGCATTTGCTCACTGCGGTCAATGAACGTGTGGATTTTAAAAATTCAAATATTTCCTACAGAACAGAACAAGAAAAGAAGAGATATCTCCTTGAATTAACTCACAGTAAAATATCTTCTAAAATTTGTATCAGACAGGAATGGGCCGTATGTTAGCTCTAAATGTTAGTTTAGAGTAATTATGAGCAACGGCTGCTGATATTCAAACACACTTGAGTCTAAATGTTGACTGCATATCACATGATGTAATGTTCTATGATTACATTGAGTGTTTTTAATAAACGGCACTCAGAGTTGCTTGTGTCATCAGATATTATGTGTAAACATATTTATTATAGCGAAGCCCACTCTATATGTGTGTGTATATAGAAGAGTATGGAAGATCTATACACCCTAAGAGTTTGAAAACTGCACTTCCAGTAGTTGTGCAGCACCATTTTGTTTATCCGTTTCACAAATTACGTGAAGTGAGACAGCTCATTCATAATGAGACATCTTCAAAGTGTTGTTCAATGATTAGCAATGTCTTTGTGGCAACAGACTGAAAATAGTTCAACTTTGAATAGTGTTTTGGTTTATTTTGATCAGCTGCGACATATGAATCGTGCATGGCACCATCTTGAATTCCACTCCACTTGTACATGAACTAATAACTCAAATCTCAGTTCACACGCTTTGATGTTCTATGTTTACGTCATTGACTGCGGCTGCTTGCCAGGCATTGCCTGCTACATATTAGGTGAGTTAGCTTTTTAGATAACATGTGTACCATATATACCAGGCAGAATATGACAGAAATCTAATTAAACCTGTAGATTGAAAACAGAGCATGCAGTCAATGGCTAGGGCTATTTTGTTTGATTATTCATTATTTATGCAAAGCGAGATGGCTCAGTCATGAAAAAATATCTTTAGAAATGTTTGTTTTGATTCACATTGAGCAGATCACATTCAATGACCTATAGTTATATACGTTCTAATTTAAACTGCTCAGCTAATTTAATTTAATCTAATTTAGTGTCACATATTGTAACATGCATGTACAGTGATCGTCTCTAAATAAACGTTTTTATGGGCACGAAAGGATTTGTTTTAGCAGCCCCAGTCAATCAGAACTCCACCAACTTGACGCAACGTGGCTAAACGACCACGCCCCCTTTCTCCAAGACACTTGCAACATGAACTTGAAAGTCCTGGTCTGCGTTCTCACTTTCAGTATGTTCATTAATCCAGGGTTAACGAAGCGACTAAGAATCAGGAAGTAGATTGATATGGGAATAAATTACCTCATGTGTCTGTATTCTAGAGACGTCAATATGAATCGTGGAAACACGACGTACCGTAATTAAAAGCGATCGGACACGTCGCATTTCTCTCGGCCTGTTGTGTTGCAATAATATTAAACAACACTGTATATGAATACACGTACTATTAATGCTGTTGCGTTTTACTTACTATTGCATTCGGAACTCCGGTTCTAGCTTGGCCACCCCCACCTGCAATGAGAAAGTGTTCGCCATCTAGTGTACACACTGCATACGGAGGGAAATCAGCGCTGCACAACGAGTCCGCCATTTCTGCCAGGTGTCCCCAAGGTAACAAGAGAAGTCGGCCAGCAGGAGAAGTCGGCCAGCAAAACAACGGAGAAGTCGGCCAGTGCGAGAAGTCGGCCTGTGAGCATCGGAGAAGTCGGCCAGTGAAACATCGGAGAAGTCGGTCATTACGTACATACTACGTTCACACATATTTACATTTTTTTTCTCGAAAAGTCGATCATTACTGGACATGGTACTTACTACGCTCGTACATATTGACTACAAATATGTTTTCATGTGTCAAGTACGAAAGTGAGAAGTTGGCCAGTACAGTATAGACGTAAGTCAGAAGTCGGTTTTTACAGTACAGATTGCGTTCGTACACTTTGATTACGGAAAATGTGTTTTCGTGCGTCACGTACTATTAAAAAAATGTGAGTAAGTGAGAAGTCAGCTATTACATTACAGACTAGGAATTCAATGTATTTAATTGTTATTTTAACCATATCCGTCTCCCAGGAGACGCGATTGTGTCTTGAATAAACTAAACTTAATTGACAGTTAGTGAATAACATGTCTTTCTATTTACAGAGTACTGAAGGGATTTCAGAGTGAATGCATCGGACTGAAAATGTTTTTCTTGTTTGTGTTTAATAAAGATTCAGTTGTGTTGTGTTTTTGACGAGCTTTAGCGGCAGTCACTCTGACAGTAACCTGCGTCGTACCGCAAAGCACATTGTTCATCATGGAGCTAATAAATGAACATCCAATGTACATTGTATTGTAAAACCTAAGTCCGGTTCATACCCGTCTGATTTAGTCTGTTATTCTATTTAATAAAGATTGAGCAACATTTGAGCGCTATTATTTTGTGTATGCCAAGTACATGACCCCACAGGATGTATGCCAGCAAGCATCACACCGACCCGATTAACATCTATTGTCCAAGGTGATAACACTGCCGATGTTTTTACAGACAAATTGCGTTTCTTTTATTATAAAAACACTGACAAAGATTACACTGCCGACTTGGTGACTGGCCGACTTCTCCTGCAGGCCGACTTGGCAATTGGCCGACTTCTCTCGTATTCGTTTGATCTCTGAGCCGTTACCACCAGTCCCCGATTACCGGTATCACACGTACTTAAGTTGAGCATA